ATTTTGAATACGAGAAATGTTAAAGATTTTTGAATTTATTATATCCATATATATAATATATTTTTAATGAACATTTTTAATCAAACATTTGAACATGAAAGTAAAATTAATTAAATATTTTTACAATAAAAAATTGTACACTTTTATATATGAATACAATAATATTTATTTAATATTTATTTCAAATATTAAAAGAAACGACAAATAAAACGAATCACACGCGGTTATGTTAAAACGCAGAAATAAATTTAGTAGATAGGAGATTTAGTCATATACGTATAATACTTTATTGTTTCGGCTCATTTTTCGAGTCATTTTCAAATAATAATGTTTTAAAAATGTGCCTCGATTATGAGGAGAGGAATATTTATTTCTTGTGCAATATTTTTCAAAGCAATTGTCTTTTTGTTTGATTTTCAAGTTAAAATTATTATTAGTTTAAAACTCATTTTGATTAATTTAAAGTTACAATACAAAAAGACGTATTATTGTATCAGTGGCAACCAACTACAATTTCTAAAAGGACAATACTACATTAATGACTATGAATGTGTTAATCAACGATGAGTTACAGAAAATTTAGTTATTACAAACAAAGGTATTTTAAGGTATTTTTTTTAAGCAAATAAGATAGAATAATAAAAAAACAAGAAAACAATGGATGATTTATCAGAACATGGTATATGCAGAAAACAAAAAAGGAAAACAATTATTTTTAATTATTCTGTTATGCTTTTTCTTGATATGCTGTGTTTAAATACATATACATATGTATATATCAGTATAAAACATATATACGTCATTGTAAAATCATGTCAATGTGAATGCCATCGCTTATATTTTTTATTCGTAATGTTTTATTATAAGAGGGATCCGATAGCGCGCATTGTTAATTAATCAAATTTAAAATAAAATATTCTCATTGGTAAAACAGTGAAAAATTACTAGGCACTAGCCGATGTGAGTGGATGTGTACCAATGAGTCCCTCTCTTTAACTATTATATTTTATAAATTATTATATTTCTCCGTCCATATACACAATTCAATTTATGATTAATAATACTGTTAGCTCTCTCTCTCTCTTCCTCACACACGCGCGCGCACATGCACACATATACACACATAGGGTGAGTCAGTTGGAGTTGCCGCACACTTTCCGTAACAATAGCCTTCGGAAGTACCGTAAAAATTAAGGATTATTTATACCAAGCCGTAATCTATGACAATTGATCAATCACAGTCGATTATTTCTTAGAGAGAATCACAATCGTCGGTATTCGATAATGCATGATTTAAAAAAAAAATTGAAACGATCTTTATATCTCCTAAGCGTCTCCACTTAGGAAATGATATTCACCATTGCATGATGATGACCTCCTCAATAACAAACAATTTTACTTCAAACATTTCTTCTCATCCTCAAAATTTGGGTATTACTTAAGTGATCGGTCTTAAATGATTCACCTTCTGCGTGTGCGTGTGAATAGATTACATATGTTTGAACATATGTTTTGAACTTGAATACATGTTTGTATTCACACATGATTATGACATAGCATATGGACTTTATTTATTCAATTCTTTCGTCATCTGTGTTTTCTTTAATATTTTGTAGTGTTTTTCGGATGTATATATAATGACCATACGTACATTAAATTGTATAGTAAAAGGTATTCAAACGTACATTAAAAGGTATTCAAACGTATCTTATATTTATGTATTTATTATAAATTTGTCATTTTTCATTAAAATTAAAAATACAGTGGAAACATATTTATAATTTTCGATATGAAAGATTTCCAGCATATTTAAAGGGATTCTACAGGGTGTTTCAGACTCGACGCACTATCTGTTAATGGCAGATTCCTGAAATCATTTTGAGACGAAAATTCTAATACCAAATGTTTAGGTGTTTTCCTCTCCCCCGGTTGTGACATCCCCGCCTTCACCTCTTCCCCGTTCTCCTTCCCTTAACGCAGAATTCATTTCATCCGTCCTAATCCAGCGAATTTTTTCCTGACATTTCCCTCCTCCAGCACAATCTCCCTAACTTCCTCTCCCTCTTTTTCTCGTCCTTTCTCTTCCGCTGATTCTACCATGTCGAACGTAGAACTCCTAGTTGAACTTCTCCCATCGCGACCCCTACTTACTTTTATCACCAATCCTTAAATTCACGCGTTTTGGCATTTCGTTCTACAGTACAACGCAAAATGTCAACCACCTCTACACGCACAAACTTTAGGCGACACGATCCTAATTTTAAATACTTATAATTAAAAAACTTATAGTCTTGACATTTCGATATGAGTATTTTCGTCTCAAAATGATAGGAATCTGCGTGGGATGATGTAGTAGTGTGCAATGATACACAAACCGTATGTAAATGCTATTGAATCGGTAAAACAGACGACTTTAAAATCCTCAAGGGGATTCTGACAATGGGAATTATTGACAATATACTGATTCGAATTAACTTTACAGAATTAAAAACTCTCTCTTTTATAATTAAAGTACATACGCACAAGAATAAATCGCGGGCTATTATTTTCTTAAGCTTAACCCTTCGTGGTCTTTCTGGGTCAAAATGACCCGAGCATCATTTTTCACGCTAGATGAAAGATGAACTTTCTGGCGTCGGAAGGGCTCGTACCTGCCATCGACTGAAAGTTTGAAGCTTCAACTATCGATAGAGATGCTTAGCTTTTTAATCGGACCGTTAGTGTGCGTTTAGCAGCCATTCGTGCAAAACGTGTTTTGAAGTGTGATCATGAAGAGTTAAGAAAAATATTTAAAAAACTATCTATATATGTGTCAGTAATTTTTATTTCTTTTTATTTTTAAGCTTAAGCTGAGTATTCTGCAATTTATTTTCGTGTTTATTTTAAACATATAAAAGGTTTTCAATTCTGTAAAGTCAATTAAAAGAAAATAGAAACCTGTAATGTCAATAAATTTCGTTATTCCAGCATCCCGTTAAAAATATATAGGAAATATTAAAGTCTATAGAAGGTATATATATATATATATATATATTTAAGCAATATATATAGCTGCATATTTCGTATCGTATATCCATTTAATTAATATTTGCATGGAATCTCGTTAAATAAAAACACGCGAAATGTCACGAAAAAACTAATATCACTGATTTTAAAAAATATTTTAGTCTTATATAAACCATTAGGAGAGAAAAGGTATAATTAAGAATCTTTATAGTATAATATTTTAATTATAAGAGTTTCTTATTTCTCTAATGAAAGAGAAAAGAGCGAGGAAAGGGGGAGAGAAACGAAATTTTATATTTATAAATTATACGTAATAATTATATGTAATATATAATCGTGATAAAAATGATATGTAAATGCATGTATCCATTTGTAGTTTATGTGTATAAAATTTAAAAAGTTAACTTCATTTAACGCTCAAAGTTAATGATCCAAGATTCTTGTAATTTAGACATTCTGTTTCTTACAATGTTTTGTTCAAACGACATCAATGTATAACATTGCACACAATTACAAGAGGTCTTTATGTGTATAGATTACATAAGATTCCGTTGAGTACATTTTAATGTGTTATAACATAATGTAATCTTCATATAGACACAATTTATTACTTGTTATCTTTTACGTGCAATTATGTGAAAGACATTTATGTTGTTTCTATATATAAAATACTCAGTGGTATTGTTGTGTAATACATAAATAAAGACAAATTTTTATCTTTCACTGTCAAATTGCTCGTTTTTACTTAATACTAACAAAAATACATTAAAATATTTTAAAATTCTATCTAAAAGTCCATAAAAATAGAAGTGTCTAATTTGGAACCATTGGTTGGACCGGAAAAAGCGTTTTTATATTTTCCATTATAGTTCAACACAGGTGAGAGATACTTCAAAAACGTATAAATTTTTTAGATGATATGATTTGGTAACTTTAAATGCTTATAGTTCAAAAACTATTATAGTTTCAAAATTTTAGTATTAGAATTTTCGTCTTAAAATAATCTCCTCTTAAACATTGTTCCAATCTTTTCGGGCGATATATATCTATACATATAGTACTGGTGAAAAGTTTGGACGCACCTGTATAAAATGGTTGTAATGGCCCTTCTCACTAATTTAAACAATAACAATTTGGATTGATTGGAGTAGCCCTACTTATGTAAAATGATCACCTCTTTTTAGGATTGATTTGAGTCCTTAGAGCCAACCTAAATATCAGAATCCGTACATGAAATTATATTAAAAATTTCATTGAGAAAAATGCCTGATGAAAACGGACAAAAATTTTGATTATATCAATCAAAGTTCCAGTTATCACAACTAAACTCTAGTAGATTTAACCAGAAAATTCTGATTCGTCCATTTTCAACAAGAATTTCAGATATTTTTCTGAGTGTGTATTTTAATGTCGGATTTTTGTAGTATGTTTTTCACAGGTCTTACTATCTTACCTTGTTTATGTTATCTCTGGTATCTATGTGTGATGGAAAGTATAATCAAGGACTGATTTATCTAAGAAATTTGCGACTCTCTGATCCAACGCTTATGTTTGTACTGATCAGTCAGTAACTTGTGATAAAAAGTCTATTTTCTGTGGATGAACTAGTGTATTTTTAGAACTTTTAGAATTTAATAAAGTGAGATAGGTATATGTTCGATAAAAGCAAGAGAGTTCTAGTGCAATCTAGTATAAGAATAAAACAAACCTTTTAAATTCTTGCTTGAAAGCTTTACAAGAAATGTGAACACAAAAGTACTTTTTCTATATTTACATTACACGTTATCCTCGAATATTATATTTTAGACATCATTAAGCATACTACTGCCATTATGCAAACTCGTTTTTATTGAATAAATAGAGAAACTCGCGTGGTATCCAAACTTTTGACTGGTACTGTATGCATGCATGCATACACAACACACGCGCGCGCGCGCGCACACACACACACACACACACACACACACACACACACACACACACACACACACACACACACACACACACACACACATATTTTTTTTACAAAAACGTACAACAGACGTTTCCACCTTTACACTTTTGACAGACAAAATTTTCGCATACTGACTTAAACACTATTGTCCTTACTTACATTATATTGTGATTCGTAGAATTTAGAAAACTCACCACTCAGAAAATTCTCCAAATTACAAGTATAATTTTATGAGTTCATCACTAACAGCTGATGGTGTTAGAATTCCCAAGTCCGTGAACAACAGACTGATATAGTGAGGTGGAGTATAATCTACTAAGGGATGCTCCTTTTTCAAATTCTTGGTTAACAGTACACTGTACGTATACTACAACAAGCAATAATAATGCATTTTATGGATTATTACAAAAAAGATTCCTTTACATTGTTCCTATACAAAAGTTATAACTGGTTCGAAATCAATGTATACAAATATAATTTACCTTAAATTCATTAGGTAAATCTATTTGATTCAAAGGATAGATTCTCGAAAATTTGAAACTTTCTGTCAGTACATAAAATGGTTTCTTCACCTCTTTTGCACATATAGCCATTGTATATGTACCTATCTGTAAAAGAGAATTGGAAAAAATACATATATAAATTACAAGAATTATACATTTTCATTGAATGGTCATATACCTTATTAATTACACCACCGCTTTCTGCAACACCTTCCGCTCCAACCATCACCATATCTACGTGTTCCATCACATATCCCACTGCAGAGTCTAGTATCACTGTACACGATATTCCCAACTTTGTTAAACTCTGGCACATCTCTTCTCTGTTTGAAGGAAAAAGATAAAATTAAAAAAAGGAAAAAGAAAAAGATAAGAACACAAATTAAAGTTGATAATCATAGGAATCACACAAAAGATATGTATTTTATTATTTAGGAACTTCACATACCCATTATTGTCAGGTGATGTGGATGTGACATATACTTCAAATATTTTATTATTTGCAGCAGCTTCCTTCATTGCTTGCAGCACTACTCTTGATTTTGAATGCGTGAGTATGGTCTGATAAAATAACACAGTAAAAGTCAGAAAATAATGGAAATATCTCATATATCTTAAATAATTTATGCCTGTCCTTACCGAGCCATCAGTAATAAAGTGTGCTGCAACCTTGGCTACTTTTCCTCGAGCTGCAACTAATTTTTCATAGAATACTTTTCCTCTTTCCAACATGATCCCTTTACATTCTGCGATTGACTAATAAAAAAAATTAACACATCAATAAGTTATCATTTAAAGATTAAACTTTAAGAAATTTGTTCTCAGAATATAAAACAAAATCTAAACGTTAGTGTTCTTACGGGTGTATCCAATGTCGCTAATGTGATAAAACGGAGAAACAATTCACTTCCCGAAGCAATTGCAGTGACCGGAGTTTCTGTGGAACGCATAGCATCAATTGCATGTTGTAAGCAAATCCGAAGCTCCTGAATTGTTTCTGCTATAAAAGCAAAGAGAGCAAATGAGAGACAACTTTGTGTACGCACATTTTGGACATTACAATGAAATATTAAAAAATATAATGCATGCACACACACACACACATAAACACAAAACATTATATTTTTTAAATATTTTATTGTAATGTTCAAGAAATTCACTCAACACGAATGTATACAATAAAAGATCAATATGTATGCGTTTATATTAAATGATAATCTTAAAATATATATGTATACATTTTATATCAAGATATATAAGTATACTTCTGGCAATACTTACATTTAGAATGTTTTAATACTTTCAATAAGGTACGAATGGCAGCCATGCCAGCAGAAACATCTTTATCATTTTTTATAATGCTGTTGAAGTATTGACATATTTCTGTGAAAGTTTGTCAAACGATTATTTTTAGATTCTCACTCGACAAGACTACTACTTAATACCTTCCATTACAATCCTAGTGGAAATATTTTAGCAATTATTTATTTTAGTTGCCTTACTTTCAATACTGATAAAATTAAGCTTTTTGATACGTTCTTACAAAATAAGCGAGAGAATCTGATGGAAAAAGTATCTATAATGTTAAACAAAGATGAAATGATTATTATGTTAAGTGTTTCTTGTTGAAAAGCTTCCTTTGTCAACAAGTATGTACATACTTCATTTCGCACATTTTTTCTATCAATGTGCATGTTCACATCACAATATTTCATTAGTATGATAGATATCTTTACCTAAAAGATTGACAAACCTTGTCAGATTCAACAATTAATATCTCACTTTCTGGTAAAGCGACACTTTTTACAGCCAGATTTTTTTGCTTCGTGCAAAAACGCGAACGAGCATGATTTTATTAAATTAGGGACGACTTAGATAATTTGAATAATTATCAAATTCTTCAAAATATAAGAACTTTTTTCACTAGGAGATGTAAGGAGATATAAAAGTACAACACCGATTTCATGTACCTTCTTTGTCCATTATGATCTGTATTTTGAGTGTAAATGGCCGTGACAATTGGTGACGATATATTAACGAAACAGATGCAAGTTCACTTTATATTTAGTATTAATATACAAGATATTGCATAAAATACCACGTGCTATCAACACCGAAACTCGAAACACCTGACTGAAACCTGACGACAGTGACAACTGAACTGAACTGAGCCACTGATCCAAGGTTATGTTCAGATTCCTATCCAGTTATCATTCCATCCTTGTTGTTTATGGAACGTTAAACAAGGACGATTCGACACTTAGGAGCACGTGGAAATCCGAACCAATGACTACGTTTACACGATTCGATTTACGCCGAAGTTATAACATCGATGTTACGAAATTGGCCAATCACAGTCATTCCATTCTTCAGAAGAATAGCTATGATTGGTTAGTTTCATTACATCGAGTAAATCGGGCCGTATAAGGCCGGAATCAGACTACGCATTGAAGATTGAAATTGAACATTGAAAAATTCAAATTTGACCAATCGAAACGAAAGGAGCTAAAATTTCTTTGTCCTTATTGGTCAAATTTCAATCTTCAATCTTAAACCTTAATCTTCAATGCGTAGTCTGATTCCGGTCTTAAAGCCCGGATCTACAATAGGTGTTTTAAGTCTTAAGCCATAAAAGATGGAACAATCGGCTCTTAACGGTGCAAAAGGGGTCATATACCAGTAGGCCTATTCTGTAACTTTTGACGATAATTCGGTATCGTTATATTGTCGTTGCGCAGCCTTTTCACCATGTAAAATACCTGCGCAACGACATCTCTAGCTAGTAAAATTGTCGTTAAAAAGTTACAGAATAGACCTACAGGGCCTCCAATCTCCCCTCTTGTTTTAGCGTTACCATCGTTAGTAGCGCCGCCGCTGTATGACACCCGGAAATACGGAACTAATATTCAATATGGCCGCTATATGTATATAGGTTGTCATGGCATATTATATCAGGCATATATAGGGTGTCTCTGATCACTCGTATCGTACCTTTTTCAGATCGGTTCGAACCTGGGAGACCAGCCGAACCACCCTATAAGTCGTAATAGTAGGACGAATTTTTCAAGCGTGTTAACCCAGATAGCAACGTGTCTATCTTGTTGGCATGTTGCTTGCTAAGTATGCATTGCTAAGCATGTGTTGCTACCAGAATTGCAGCAACTGAGTCCTCATTTGTTGGCAACTTGATGCATTCATGATATAACTTTGAGTAGCAACTTGCCAGCAGTTTGCCGATAACTTTAAAATCGTCATCATCAAAATTCGCACTACTGCCATCATATTGCCATAATAATATGCAGCATCATGCAATGCTTTCATATTGCCAACAACACAAGATAACATTGATGCAGCTATCTTGCTGTTAAACTGCTGGCAATACATATACGCATTGTTGCCTGCATGTTGCTACAATGTCGATACATTCGAAATCGTTGAAGACAAATCTATGGCAAATTGCCAACGTCATAAGCAATCACAGATTTGTGTGATTTTGCTGAGACACGCTTTGCTATCTCGGAATTGGCTGCAAGAGGATCTTGGACCTCTTTGTCCTATAGTCAATCAACAGGCTTGAAAAATTTGTCGTACGACAAAAAACGGACGCACGTAATATTGGCCTTAAGCTGATTCTACATTGATCGCATCGCAGCGTCGCAAGCGTGTCGCAAGCGTTATGGTCCAATCAGAGTCGAGCTAGCTTGACGTTGATTGGACTGCAACGCTTGCGACGTTGCGATGCGACTAATGTAGAACCAGCTTTATGAACGGAGCAAGCATCAAGCAGCGGAGCAGCAACCAACCAGCAAGGCGTATTATTTACGCCACCGTAAATATCCCCTCACTGATTGGTTGCTGCTCCACTGTTTGAAGCTTGCGGCGTCCAGTGTAAATTAGGCATTATGCTGGATTCACCCTGCATCCGATTTTCGTCGTACGACACTCTGCAACCAATCAGAAAACAGGATTCCGATGAATTTTGCTTCGTATTATCGGAATCCTGTTTTCTGATTGGATGCAGTGTCGTCGTACGACTAAAATCGGATGCAGGGTGAATCCAGCATTAGCATTAAACGTAGTCTGTCACCAACTCGAAAGATGGCGCGATATGTATTGCACATGCATTTCGCGCGAATGTAGTTCATGCTTCCACCATGCACCAAGCTTTCATTATTCACGAATTCCGTAAGCGAGCAAGTGCGAGGGTGGTTGTGCAGTGCACGTAGCACGGCCTGGCACGTAATTTCGTAGATTTTTCAACCGTTATTATGTCCTCAGGTACGTTTTTGACCGTCATGACGGTGAATATCGATGGATAATTAGTTTTTTTACCGCTAAAATTATCCTGAAATATCATCCGCGTCGTCATCACGCCCCACACGTTTGCACCTAACCAAACTTCGCGCGACGTGGTCACCATGCTTTCGATATTGCACGAACTGCTAAGCGCATTTCGACACGGGGTGCGACAATACGATATGTTCCTCTAATGATACGCTCGCATCTGTTTTGCAGGCAAAAAGAACAAGAAGAAGAAGGGGGTAACGGTAGATCTGTGGTCATTCCTTGCAGGCGGAAATGGACCGACTCCTAATATACCGCTGAAATCGTCTAATTGGGCTGATGATGTGGAGGATGATCATGGTAAATCATTGGAATTGCTTTTGTCCCAGTTTGAAATCGATAAACAATTGTTAGCTTTATGAAAAGATATTAGATTCTTGTGCTAATTATTAAGTGTATCTATGTTTATACATAATTATATATATGAATGTTATTTTTGTATACATCCTGAATATGTAAAAAATTATTTTATTACGTTATTGTAAGAGGAATAGAACATAGTAGTGCTATAATTTCCTATGATAAAACATTTATTTCAATATATGCAATGTAAAGACATATCTTTGGTTTTTTATGATATCGATTATTTTATAGAAGGATTTTCATCAAGGAGCAGCAAAGATCCGGTTATATTGCCGACTGCTCCAAGGGCTGCACGAGGACCAGGGATTGATGAAGAGAATATCCCTACAAGTCCTCCTTTTGTAGCCTACATAAGCAATCTGCCATATGATGTAGATGAAACTGATCTGTCAGATTTTTTTGCAGATATGAAGGTTCGCTATTTTTGCAAGTACATTTATCATCTATCTATATTTAGTACATCTTTAGAATTATATATATTAAATTTAAAAGAATTCAAGATGTATTACAACAATATTACAATATTACAACATTATTATGCACGCACGCACACAAAAATATATAGGCTGTGTTCGGAAACATCCGAATGCCCCCCCTGTATCGTTTTATCCTTATTATTCACTCAATGTTAAACAGAGATAAGATGATACATAGAGGCACCCGGATGATGTTTCCGAATGTAGCTATACATACATATACATATATATATATTAGACTGACAAGAAAAAAATTTTTTTTAAATTGGCCTCAGCTAAAAAGCTTCTATTTCATGCCCCCCTCTAAATTTTTGTCAAAAAGTATTAAGATTTAGAGGTTGCTAGCAAATGACTTTTAAATCAAAGTTTCAATTTTCCTAAGACGTATATCGTAGAGTTAAATGAATTATTGCATCATGTTCAGCGACCAAAAAAAACATACAGTTTTTAAATGCCACATTTAAAAGCCAGTTTAAGCTATTTTTCATCAAATCAAACGTGTATTAAGGAAAATCGAAACTTTGATTTAAGAATTGGTCACTAGCGATCTTTAAATCTTAATATTTTTTTATAAAAATTTAAGGTTGTTCCTTTAGCATAAAATGGAACCTTTTGAGCTGAGAGGCCAATATTTAAAACAAAATATTTTCTTTTTTCCTTATCAATCTAATGTATCATATACAGGATGTCCCAGAATAGTTGCTGAATATTTTGTACATAGGTAGACCGGACTAAACTGAGTTGAGAAGTCCTCTACCATTTTGCAATTTTCGCAATAGTTAACAAGATATTAATAACTAAAAATCGCTGAATATTCATTTTTAGTAATTTTTTATCCTAATACTGTTAATTTTATAGAAAAAGAGTAAAAGACAAAAATTGTTAATTTTTTTCTTGTGGAGCTCTAAGAATTTTTCAGAATTTTTTATTTACTTTTTAATACTGTATTTTTTCATTGGCAACTATTATTATAGTCTATAATTATTGTAATCTTAATATTTAACATTTAATTTATAATATTACCATAATTATTATAGTTTTAATATTTTGATATATTAGAATTTTTATCTCAAAATAATCTCAAGAAACTACCTTTAAATATTGTTGAGATCCATTGCGATCTTTATTGAATATCCTATATACATATATGTTTATATAGTAATAATTCACTTCAATATAAACGGAGATCCACACACACACACACAGTCAGATATCCCAAATAAATCTTTATTTATATTATAAAGTCTCAATAAATATTTTTGATGTTATGTAACTTTGACTTGTTGATGTTATGAAGCTTATAAATATCAATTTTCTTTAATGGAGTAGTAATGTAGGACATTGTTTAAACAATGTGGGATAATAGAATTGAGAATTGAGCCTTGGGCCTTATTCTTGAAAAAATATTGTATATGAAAATACTAGGGAAAACTATATTATTTACATAATGTATACTATAGTATTTTCGTATACAATATTTTTCGAGAATACGGCTCCGGGTTTTCTATTTGACAGACAACTGTTCTATGATTGAGCTATCCAGCGCTCTCCAAGTACGTTTAATTAATATGAAATCTCTTGCTATAGATCTTAATTATATACAATTTTGATAACCAAACATAAAAATTAATTTTCTTTCATTTTTTGCAAATCGATTGTAATTTTTAAATTACGCGTTTTCTTCTATACATAGATTTCAAACATGCGTTTGCCAAAAGACGCAAATAAAATTAAAGGCTACGGTTACGTCGAATTCGAGGATCGTCAGAGTCTAATTAATGCTCTTACTATAACAAATAC